CTACTATAAATTGAAATAATTGTTTTGATTATAAATTTATTTTAAATTGTCTCTGTGCATCAATATCTTGTTAATTTCACTTAAGCTGAATTTCTTGATTAAAAGGAAAAAATGGAATTCACTTATCCCCTATATATTATTTGCAAAGTGATTTACAAAATGTCATCTCTACAATCATTTTTACAAAAAATGATAACATAGCTACTAATATTGATGACATGACCTATAGTTAAATATGACTTGGAAACTTATATTTATTGTTGATATATTTTTGGTAACTTTTATAGAAATGACAATAACTGATACATTACATTTAATGTTTATTTATATTTTTGGAAAACTTCTCAAAATATGGTAAACTCATAAATCAAATCATCACTAAAATAAATATATTTAAATATGCATTATAAATTTATAAATGTATTTACTTTTATAATTATAAAATTTTATTACTAATATTTTCAAACTTTTCTAGATCTTTTTTAAAAATTAATAAATTTTTAATCGTAGTATCATTAGTTTTTCTATCAATTTTTTTTTGTAAATAGTTTTTACAGTTTTGTCTTAAGTTTTCTCTTCTTCTTTGTCACGATACCATGGGATATCAGGACTGCTATAAGTCGCTGAGTTCTCCACCGGAATTTTTAGCCACGGTGAGCTTAATCCACCATAGTGTTTTTCATTCCCACGGTAGTTTCTCTTCCTCGATGTCTTCTGTCCGAAGTCTTGTCGTTAAACGTCGTGATTTGCCGGAGATGTCTCCTTCCACTGCAATCTTCTCTCTTTAAAATCTGGATATCTCAGCCGACGACGGAGAGCCACTGCTGCCATCACCGACTACAGATCTACCTTTGTCTCAATATCTTCAAGTCATGCTCAAGCTCCTCGAACATGACTTCGTGATAAGCCAGCACAACCTCCGGTTAAACCACGATTGATCAGTTTTGATGATAAATCATTTCCAAGCCAAACTTTTCCTTTTTTTTTGGGTTTGGTCCTTGCACATTTTGGTTCTCCTCAATTTGACTCCTAACTCTCAAATTTTCATACATGTCCTCTTGAATTAATCTCAAACTTCCAAATACGAGAGATTAATATTGGTTATCATAAAGAGTATATTGAATCCTTTGTTTTGAGGTTTCTTATGAATTATTTTTGGATGGTCTTGTCTTGAAGATGGAGATGGTTGTTTGTTCATAGACAAGAGTCAGAAGCTTTCATTTCTTTGAATTACAAAATTATGAGCATCTTGATTTGAAATTATTAATCTTTTTTTTCGTTTTCACAACATTTGGTGGACATATGCATTTTAGTAACATAGTGGATATTTAATAATGATGGTGTACATCATATAAATTTAGTGTACACATGGATATCATATAAAATTGGTATACACAACACACATGTAGACATTGACATCATAAAAGTGTTGTACACATGTATATAAAGTAAAGTGGATGTACACTTAAACATCATATAAATGTACATAAATATCATTTAAAATTTATGTACACTTAAAAATCATAAGAGTGTACATGAATATTATATAAAGTTGATGTACACTTAAACATCATAAAAGTATTGTACACATATATATTAATGTTATAGTGTACATATGTACATCAATTTCAAAGTGTACATGTGTGCACTATATATTCCATAGTTGCATACAATATTTCAATTAAACAAAATTAATAAATATGCGTATATGTGGATATCATTAAAAGGTGTATAAATCTTAATTTATCGCACAAAGATGGATAAAATGTGAGTTCCTATTTTAAAGGTCGAGATACAGTCACATATAGGTCGAGAATTCTTACAATGTAGAATGATAATAATGGCTTTAAAATGACTGGTGTATATTTGAATAATTGTACATGTTGATAGTAATTTTTGTGTACATAATATATGTGACAATAGTCAGAAGCCTTCTTTGAATTAAACAATTATGAGCATCTTGATTTTAAATTTTTAGTCTTTTTTTTTTTCGTTTTCAAAACATTTGGTTGACATATGCCAGTAACATAGTGGGTATTTATAAATGATGGTGTACATCATATAAATTTAGTGTACACATGGATATAAAATAAAATGAATGTACACTTAAACATCATATAAATGTACATGAATATCATTTAAAATTTATGTACACTTAAACATCAGAAAAGTGTACATGAGTATTATATACAATTTATGTACACTTCAACATCATAAAAGTATTATACACATAGATATTAATGTTATAGTGTACATATGTACATCAATTTTAAAGTGTACATGTGTGCACTATATATTCCATAGTTGCATACAGTATTTCAATTAAACAAAACTAATAAATATGTGTATATGTGGATATCACTAGAAGGTGTATAAATCTTAATTTATCGCACAAAGATATATAAAATGCGAGTTCCTATTTTAAAGGTCGAGATACAGTCACATACAGGTCGAGAATTCTTACAATGTACAATGATAATAATGGCTTTAAAATGATTGGTATACATTTGAATTATTGTACATGTTGATAGTAATTTTTCTGTACATAATATATGTGACAAGAGTCAGAAGCCTTCATTTATTTAAATTACAAAATTATGAGTATCTTGATTTTAATTTTTTAATCTTTTTGTTTTTGTTTTCACAATATTTGGTGGACATATGCATTTTAGTAACATAGTGGATATTTATAAATGATGGTGTACATCATATAAATTTAGTGTACATATGGATATCATATAAAATTGGTATACACAACACACATGTACACATTGACATCGTAAAAGTGTTGTACACATGGATATAAAGTAAAGTGAATGTACACTTAAACATCAAATAAATATACATGAATATCATTTAAAATTTATGTACACTTAAACATCATAAAAGTGTACATGAATATCATATAAAGTTGATGTACACTTAAACATCAGAAAAGTATTGTATACATAGATATTAATGTTATAGTGTACATATGTACATCAATTTCAAAGTGTACATCTGTGCACTATATATTCCATAGTTACATACAATATTTCAATTAAACAAAATTAATAAATATTTGTATATGTGGATATCACTAGAAGGTGTATAAATCTTAATTTATCGCACAAAGATGGATAAAATGCGAGTTCCTAGTTTTAAAGGTCGAGATACAGTCACATATAGGTAGAGAGTTTTTGCAATGTACAATGATAATAATGGCTTTAAAATAACTGGTGTACATTTGAGTTATTGTACATGTTGATAGTAATTTTTGTGTACATAATATCTGCGTACATATAATAATATACCAATGAAAACAAGGTACAAAACAAATACCTCAGGTCATTTTTGTGCATCTGAACATAAATTCAAAAATGAAGAAACTAAAACTTGAAGGATCAAATGCGCAAAAAAATAGAAACTTGACAATTTGTAGCTCTCGAGTATTCACTTTTACTCTTCGAAGGGGGTTAAACTGCACTTTAGAAAATTTGACACCAAATCAAAAAGTCATTTTTGCAAATATGAAAATCTGAGCTAAAAAATGCAGAAAATTCACCATTATTAGTCTTATCCTTCAATCCTAATGAAGAGGATGAGTCACAAGGACTACCGACGGTCACAACGGTTGATCGGACAGCTCCAGAGTGATGCTGAAGTGATTCGGCGAAAATAATGGATAGTTGTTTCCTTAAAGTGATGAAGGGATTAATTGTTTTTAATCTACCATAATTCAAAATAAAATAATTGTATTATCATAAATAAAAAATTAGTAGATAAATTAATTTTCCATCTAAATTGGTACGAGAAAGAGAGAGCATCACATAGGTATAATAAAATATAGTGATCAAAATTGACTCAGAATTAATTGGACAAAATAAATGATACGGTGAATTTTAGTAATAGGACATGTGTGATGCATCGACTTTCTGACATGACGTCCTATGTGGATTCATCAGGAGATAGTAAATACTCTTATATATATATATTTCAGAGTATATATATATATATATATATATATATATATTTATTTCAGTATCGTTTTAACTAAAATATATATCAAATATAAAATACATAAAATGTTAATTTCAAAATTTGCATTGAGTAGGAAGCAACAATTAAGAGATATTATTTTTAGTAAAAATAATATTTTTTACAATAAATATAAAAAATAGTAATAAAATCCTATGAGTACAAGACCTCAATTAATAAATATATATATTAAAATATATTATATTTATGTTAGTATCATTTAATTTTAATGATATACAATATAAAATAACTAAATGATTATTTTGATTTTTACCAACAAAAATTATTGTAGACACAAAGAGGAATTATTTGTTTTATGCTCTAATTCCAATTTAAATATATATATATATATATATATATATATATATATAATAGTTACTCATTTATCAATTATTTGATATAGTTATTATTGCATAATACATAATACGTAAACGAATATAAAATAAATAATAATTTTTATACATAATTAATGTTTATTTTGCGTAAATGCTGAAACCAAATGTTATTTGATCATATTATTTTAAAAATACAATTCTTCATATCAAAGTAAAATGATGAATTATAACACCATATGATATCATTGAAGCCAAATATAAATTAAATAGATTAAAAAATAAAATATCACCAAACATAACCCATTAACCCTACTCATTAACCTTATATTGTTAATACATAACTGTATGTTAAAATTAGTATTAAATGATTATTAATATATTAATTTTACTTGATAATTATCTAGTATGCTCTTTGTTTCAGCACGTCTTTGTCTCCATATCATGTATCGTACCTGTTCCAAAACGTAGTTGTTAACCATCAATCTATTATGATGGTAACATCTTATCTAAATCTCTGATCAGTATTTCCTATGAAAATCTATTAAAAACCCCTATCCAAATCTACTGCAAATAGTGAGGAGCAAACAAACGACTGCGTTTAGACAGGTCCAAAACTAATGAAACGAAGACGTTTAGTCGAGCATAAACCCCACGACATCGTTTAGTCGTTGACCATTTTGGCTCTCTCTCTCTTCTTCACCATGTTTGGGTCGAGAGCTCTCTTCTCCGGAAGAATCTGGAATCATTCTCTGTTTCCAAAACGTTCTGGAATCTTCCGAGCGAATTTCTCGACAAAAGGGGTCGGGACGCACAATGGAACTTTCCATTGCGACGAAGCCTTAGCTTGCTTCATGCTTCGTCTCTCCACCAGATTCTCCGGTGCCCAGATCGTCCGTACCAGAGATCATCAGGTTCGATTCGGTGACTATACACCATCTAATTGAACGTTTCTCTATGCAAAGTTTCTACCTTTGGATTCAATTTGGGTTTTCGAGAAATGGGTCTGAGAATAGCGATAAGGCTTGTTTTTTTGTTTTTTATGTTAAAGTTTATGATTTTGTGAAGTAATTAGTAAGGTGATGTGGTTAATAAGGTTTTGGAGAAGCTTGATGCGGCTCTTGATGTTGGTGGTATGTATGATCCTGAGAGTGAACGTTATGACCATCACCAGAAAGGCTTCACTGAAGTGTTTGGTCATGGTTTTAATACTAAACTCAGTAGTGCCGGGCTTATCTATAAGGTAAGAGAAGATGCGTTCTTGAGATTTTGGTGTGGTGGTCTTGCAGAGAACATTTGTGCTGATGCTTCTGCGTTTTAGCACTATGGCTTGGAGATAATCGCTAAGGAGCTTGGACTTGATCAGAAACATCCTGATGTGCAGCGATTGTTTCTAGCTGTGTACAAAAACTTCATTGAGGTAGTATTTCTTTCTTTAGAGAGGTTTGCTATTTCGCTGCTAGATTCTTTTTGGTGAGTTTATTGAATAAACTAAGCATTTACAGCAAAGACGAAGCTATGTCTATGAAAGTTTAGCGATCGATGGGCATATAACTTACTGAATCTGTTGTCTGATTGGCAAAGATTGCTAAGTAGTCATCACAAGTCGTGGTTTTGTCTAGATTTTTTTTTCTTGTTAAATTGAGAATGATAGCTAAGAAATGATTTAAATTTTGATGTACGAAAATAGAGATGGTGGAGCAGTTCTTGAACTTTCACATTATGTGATTCTTTCACTTGCTTTTTATAGTAACTTTTTTTTTTATAAATTTACAGGCAGTAGATGCTATTGACAACGGCATCCATCAGCATGATACTGAACAGCCTCCAAGATATGTAAACAACACAAGCCTGGCTCATAGGATTGGAAGGTTGAACTTAGACTGGATTGAGCCTGATCAGTCTAGTAGCAAAGAAGATGAAGCCTTTCATCGGGCAATGAAACTTGCTGGCTCTGAGTTCTTACAGGTTTCTGCTTTTTTTTCTATATCTTATCCACATACATTTGGCTCTGATCCTTTTTGGAACAGAGAGATGCAACCAAGGAAAATTTGCTAGTACCAAACAAATCTAGTGTTGGAAATTGCTTTGAATGAAGCAACCTAATGTGTTACTATAACGAATATTATCTACTGGTAAATACATGAAGTTGACTTCATTGCCCTGGTTTCATAAGAACTGATTGGTGTCCAGAATCTGTTTGATTGCTTCTGAGCATGAATTTAGAATACTACTCTTTAATTTTTTTTATGGCCTACCTTTTGATAGTGTGTTCATTTTCACGCGAAATCATGGTTACCAGCTCGGTCCATTGTTATGGAGTGTCTTGCAGAACGTCATGATATAGACTCCAGTGGAGAAATCATGAAGCTCAAAAAACAATGCCCAGTAAGTTCAAATTTGCTACACGAATTAGAATTGATAATGGTGGAACTACTACTACCTTTTAAAGTTGTAAGGAGTTTTGTGCATTTTGCAGTGGAAACTCCATATATTCGAGCTCGAGGAGGAAATGAAGATCGATCCTCCTATAAAATATGTTCTTTACGAGGTACTACCGACAGTTTTATGCATATGATCTTACAATGTTGCAACCTATATTTCCCTTCAGACAATGAGTGTAATTGCAGGATGATAGAAGTGAAAACTGGAGAATCCAGGCGGTTTCGGTTTCACCAGACAGGTTTGAGAGCCGTAAAGCTTTACCAGTTTCATGGAGAGGTCTAGAAAGAGACAAGCTCTCAGAGGAAAGTTCAATTCAGGGATGTGTATTTGTGCACATGAGTGGTTTCATTGGTGCCAACCGGACCTATGAAGGTGCATTGGCAATGGCAAGAGCCTCTTTGATTGCTTAGTTCCATGTATAACCAAAAATGAGTTATTTGGTGTAAACCTATTTACAAATATATAATTAGAATTTGAGAGGCTGTAGCTGAAAATCTAAGTACTACTAAATACACTATACATTTTAACATTTTTATTAATTATAATAACAGATTGTGAAAAGATTCATCCATGTAAGTGGGGGTGCACTTCGGTTATTTTCTCGGTTTGGGTTCGGTTTGGTTAATTCGGTTCTAGAATTTTTTCGAACTAAAGTAAACCATGATTAGTTTGGTTTGAATCAGTTTCGATTCGGTTTATATTCGGTTCGGTTTGTGTTTTGGTTTGATTTAATTGGGCACCCTTAATTTAGATCGTTTAAGTGAAATATATTTTAAAATTTAAATGCATGTCCATAAAATCATCAGGTGGTGACAATAAATAATAAATTATGTAAATTAAATCCAATATAAAATTGAATAAAAACTTTAAAAACCACAAAAAATTAATAAGAACACAATCAAATCAAAGTTCACTAAAATAAATAACAAATTAAAAAAAAACAACATCATAATTAATGTCTCTTATACTAATAAAAAGGTCTACAACTAATATTCTTCCATGTGATATTATAAAAGAACAGGCAACAAATCAATAACTAGTATATGTTATACATAATCTATATGTATAATTCCATTATTATAAACATAATCTATTAGTTTTACTAACTAAAAATGAAAACAGAATATGACTTTATTTTAAAGATTTTAGTATATATATATATTGCTAATATGCTTAATTCAAATAATAACAAAAACATTATTTTTTTCGGTTCGGTTTGGTTTGAATTCGGTTCGGTTTCCGTTTGGTTCGTTCGGGTTGGAAAAATCTTAAACCAAATTATTTGATAATAATTTTGGTTTGGTTTGGATCGGTTTCGGTTCGGTTGGTTCGTTTTGACTCGGTTTGGTTCGGTTTTTTTGTCCACCCCTACATGAAAGACTTCATTACACTGACGGATTTTTGTAATTTTAGCTTTATAAATTTGCATAAGTATCGTAAAATCATACTTTTGGGATTCATTTCCAATTTTTTTTGAAGTATAAACATTAATAAACATTTGATCAAATCTAGTTGACTAATGGTATGCCCTTTTCCAAAAAGAAAAAAAAAATCTAGTTGACTAATGGAACTCTCATAAATAAAATACTATTCTGTTATAAACACTAGGGGCGTAGCCTCGCGCAAGCGTGGGAATATTGACAAATACATGTGTTGTTGTAGTTTAAAAATTGTATAGGAGGTAGAGTCAATTGTTTTGTTTAGTGTAGTCTTAGTGGTTTATAATAGAAAATAATAGTTTGATATATTGTTGACGAAGGTAAAACCATATAGTAAAAGAAGAGACGTTAATGCAAGGTTTACATGAATCTTCTATCATTACATGAGATATGTTTTATTATGCTAACATGCAGTTGTGCATTTTGTTAACCTGAATACGAAAGTTTACGTCAACTTGATTTTTTAAATATAAAACTAGATTTCGACCCGCACAACCGTGCGGGTATTTTAATACAAAATATTTGAAATTATATAATAAAATTTATCAATAAATAAGTATAATTTGATTATGTATGCTATTCAATTTTATAATAAATTTATGTGGCTTATAATATTATTAATATAAAATTTATAAACTTGTATTTTTGTAACAATTTTTAAAAACATTATTATGTAACATTACTAATTTATATATTTTTATTTCTAAATTTGAAATATATGTAAAACTTAAATTAAATTTTATCTACATAATACATAAACAAAATTTTGGGATATTTTTAAAAGTATTTTACATAATTTTAAATTTTTGTTTATAAGTAAAAAATGAATTAAAATTTTAATTATATTTTATGATAATTAAAATTTAATCAAATACTCTTTGAAACTATATCTTGAAAAGATTTTAAAAGATTTTTAAAAGATTTTGTTAGAATTTTTTTACAACTATTTATTTGTATTTCAAACAAAAATTAAAGATATGAAAAGATATTATAATGTTATTTAAAATTTTATAAAATTTTTAAGAAGGTCCAAACTAAAATATCACACATGAAGTGAGTCATGACTTCTCTTTTAATATAATAGATCTTACAAACTGTCTTCTCGTTGGAGTCACTGAGCCGTGAATGGCTGAAAAAGAAACGAAAACCAGAATATACGGTAAAGATTGCAAAGTCTAAAATAGAGAGAGCATAAAGAATAGTTTAGGAAATTGTAAAATGATTAAAGGAGTGTATTGAAATGAGAGTTTTAGATGATTTTTGTTAAAGGTAATTAAACGTAACAAATCAACTTAATCAGCTTTTATAAAAAAATGTACACAAACGAACCTCATGAAACAGAGTATTGTTGTGCCGCAAGTTGTTGTACAGCATATATATTTTGATCACAGAAAGTTCGATATGCTATGTGACCTTGAGATATGATGTGGTTGAGTCTGGGAGTGTATTTTGCTCTCATAGTTTTGTTACGAATTATTGATAATATGATGAGAAGGAGTTGGTATACTTTTCTATATGTAAGAGTTTGTGAAGGAATTGCAATATATTTGTGTCTCTTACCAGTCTTTGGTTAACAATATAAGGAAAGGAAATAAACATAGCTCTCTTGTAGTGGACATGAGCTTAAGAAGAGAGGCTACACGCGTTTTAAAAGGGGTCAAAATAGTGAAGGTTAGATTTCAACAATTCATAGAACTATTAAAAAACATTTTAACGAATCAGCTAGCAGGTGAAACAATATATTTGACTTTATTACCAGTTATAGTTTAATACACTTGCAAAGTGGACGCAAACATAAAATAGTTGAAGGAGTCTCTTTTCTAAGTCATTTGAAATACAGAGCCAGATGGATCAAGTATACGTACTAAGAATTTTAACAAAATAATCATCTGTAAAAGTCTGCAACATTCCATTAAGCTCCAATAATCTGAAGCTTGAGACACTCATGCAGCAGGAACATTGGTCAGCTTGTTCATCTTAGGATGGAAAGCCACAAACAGAGCAGAGTCGGATGCATCTGATACTGCCATCTCCACCTGGTACTTGTCATCAAAGGGAGAGGCGACAGGTTAGGTGTTAGGGTTAAACTGATTTTTCTTGTGAGCATACTTAAATCATGTATGAAACCGATTGCTTCATAGATTACCTTACAATGCCTGCAGCTTTTTCATCATGATATGCTGCAATTTCCAAGAGCACTTGGAAAATGAGATATAACACCACCCATCTAAGTATGCCTGCAACAGATATTTCAAATATTGTTCATTAGATCACATCTTGCTATCTAAATGATCAAAAATTATATGATGGCTGATTATCAAATATATCTTTTTTTTTTCTAAAGAGATTTAGTAACTCCACCTGGTACCAAGTCCTGGTGCTTTTTCTGAGAATTACTGTCACTTAACCTTCTTCAATCCTTTCTCGTGTGAAAGTCGAGCTTCTCGCTTACTCACCTACAGATTTGGAAAAACCAGATCAAAATCGCCTTGGAGGTTGAGAAAGTAAGATTCATGACAAACCTTGTTTCTCCATTTGTTTTTCTCAGTGAGATAAAGTAGTCCAGAGCTCAACCCTAAAATGGAAACACTATGCGTGACGTGTGAATCTATGCTCCAGATAAGACATACTATCCTGTTGATACACAAGAAAATCATAGATCTCATCATCAAACTTGAATATTTTTGTTATTACATAGTTTTTTATTGTAAGAACACCTAGCTATGTTTCTTACTGGAAATACTGTTAAAATCTCTAGTATGGTAAGGTGGTTCTCTCCATCTTCAGTGCAATCGGCTTCTGAAAAACTCTGCTTATCACGGCTTCCGTTTCCTGGAAAAATTCATTAGTTATTCCAGTTATCTAGACGAAGGTACTTCTCAATTGAGCCAGCAATGCATCGCGTGGCTAAGGCTAGCAACTCTAACAGTAAGCTTGCCTCCAGCACTGTTATCTATCTTGAAGCTATAAATACAAAAATTAATCAGATCAAATTCTTATATGTTTATTTTTGATGTTTTCTTCTTAAAACTCTGATTCATAAAAATAAATCCACATGTTCGCTTACTTACATTGTTATGTTCATCCGTAATCAGACTCGTCTTTGGCCAAGCCATAGAGCTCAATGGAGACCTAAGAACCACAAAGATTATTGAAAGTATACCGTTAAGTCGAAACAGGCTGCTGGATCAGGATGGATGACATTTTACTATCAATCGGAAATACACAGTGTAATCAGGTTATCAAGTGGAAAGGGTATACCCGGATAGGGAAAAACATGAGCCAACATATGGACCCACTGTTACAGAGGTAAAAGCTCAAGCATGGAAGATTCGATGTTCACCAAAGATAAAACATTTCCTTTGACAGTTGGTATCGGGCTGTATCTCAGTGAAGAAAAAATTGCGCAGCAGAGGTATGCAAGGAGATGTTCAGTGTGAAAGATGTGGCGCTAGAGAGGAATCAATTAACCATGTGTTTTTTGAATGTCCTCCGGCTGTCCAAGTATGGGCTCTCTCAAAAGTGCCATCTCATCCAGACATATTTCCTTCTCAGGCACTATTCAAAAATATGGACTACCTATACTGGCGAGCATCCCCGTATATGGAAGATCGTCAATTTGCATGGATTTTATGGTATATCTGGAAAGGACAGAATAATAAGTTTTTTCATAATATTGATGTTGATCCGAGGAATATTTTTAAGCTGGCAGAGACAGAATCTCTTCTTTGGGCGGAGGCACATATTCCTGACACAAATGGAAATGATCAAGTACAACAAACGGAAGAGGTCACATTGCCTTCAATTCTGGGTCGTTGGTGTTTTACGGATGGTTCATGGAAAACCCAAGAGGCTTTCTCAGGGCAGGGTTGGTATAGTACGTTACGAGGGTTTTGAGGGACTGATGGGAGCTAGGAACACGAGAGCGAGTATCTCGCCACTACACTTGGAGATAGAAGCACTTATTTGGGCGATGGAAAGCATGAGGAATTTATGCCAGTGTCATGTTACGTGATATAGTGTGTTTTTGACATAGAATAAGTACTCTCTACTAACGGTTTTAATGGTTTTATCGAGTCTTTCCAGTTGTTTTTAGTCATTACAGGTTGAAGAGTTCCATAG